TTTTTTTTTTTTTTTAAAGGACATTAAGGCAAGATAATCTGGACGATTTTATCCATCCCAATACTAAAATATACTCCAAATGTTACATTCCAGTCTTTTCTTCAGTCAATTCTCTCAGTATTTCCTTAAGCCATTCGGAAACAGAAGTAGCATGACATTTCCTCAGTCTGTTCAGAATTTCCCATTTACCGATGAAGTCAACGTTTGAAACTTTTGAGAAAGCCAGATACAATTTTGCTTCTACACATTCTTGCATTTTGTGTCTGTAAAGTATCTTAGGAGCAAGTGTTTTAAAAGAATAGTCAATATTTTATCCTTATTTTGCAAGAGAAAAACTGTCATATACCATCAAGCAGTCCCTCCTCCTTACAGACTTGTTTGTAAGATCACAAGTCCCAGTGCAGCAACCTCTTTCCAAATGTTATCTTTTGTTTCCCTGCTTTCTTTGTGTTTGCTTTTGCAATAGTCTGTACTTTCCTTCTGGATAGCTGGCTAACTCATTTCTAATATTTAAACGTTTTAGGTTTGCTCTCATCATGACCCCAATACAGTGCATTTACACTACACTCAAAGGAGATGAATAGCAAGCCTACCAGATAAATGGCTGCAGACTCACAGCCTTCAAGAGACTTATTCACTGGAGTAACAATATTAGCCTGCAAGGGCACTTTCAAAAGCTTTTCATGTTTTTCTACATTCCAGTTTCCAATCTCTGTCATTACTGCGTTACGCTGCTTTCAGATGGTTAGGGCTTTTGGTCACTACCAGCTTAGGAAATTCATATTTATGACCTTGAACTGAAAAGCTTCCTATTGCACTTTGGCCACTAGCAACATTCCTTCCATCTCACCACTCACGTAACATTCAAATTCATTTCCTTTCCTCTTCAGCTCACTCTGTGAGCTTACATTTCGGTCCTAGTGGCTGCCTACAAATACAAGGCAGCCACAAGGACTGCAGAAAATATAAGGCTACTGTTACAGTTGTTGGTGTCTGTTTTTTAATGGCACCATATTCTGTGCTGTACAAACCAGAGTACTCTGTCCTGAAGACAATTCACAGCCCTGTAATTTGTAACCCTGCTCTCACTGTTACGCATGTTCCTGACTCCACTCTTGACAGTCATATGTAGGTACACAGTATAATGTTTGAGCATTTTATATTATTGTGCCCTACTTTACTCTTTCCCCAGTAGACGTACACATAAAGGTCATAGCGGAACACAGCCAAAAATACAATAAATATAAATAAACAAAAATAAATTAAAAAAAACACTTCTGTAGTTCAATTAACACTGAGTCTCTATCACTACACAACTGATTTAGATCCGAAGTGCACATATGCATTTTTGTCATATTAGCCAAGGTTCACCACACAGTGATATGCCCAGATTTATGATTTCCTGTTGGCTTTTTTTTGGCTATAAAAGAACAAATGAAGTCTGATTTGATGCTAACTTGCTGCCACAAAACAAATACTTAGAATGTAAGGACATTTGGTTTGACTGTGTATCTGGTTAAGGGATATTCATCACAAAAACAAAGATGAGACAGAAAAAGCAATAAACTGCACCTACATACAAAAACCCAAAGAAAAGGAGATAATGAAGGTGAAACCAAAGATCAGAACTCTCAGGTCCCTGAATGATGAGCCAGAGAAAGAACCACTCAAAGTCCTGAAGAACTGATCAAAATGGGGTGGAAAAGTCTCATGGAAATGACTGATTGTATTGCAGGGGAGTCATAGGATTATCCAAAGTTTAGGGTATGTTTTAAGCAGTTTAAGGGAACAAGCAAATGAATGCCTAAGGTAAGGACAGGATCAAGGTGGATCATGGAGAAACAAGCATGGGTAAAAAGGATGTATACGTGTGGGTACATATTATATTCATATACACATTTCCTATCAGTGTTTGTACATGCATGTATTATATATACTATATACTCAACATATGAGTATATATTATACAGGCACAACCTGAAAATGGGAAGAGCCTGAAATTTCAGACTGGGAAGGAGAAATCCAGGCTCACCCAGGAGCCTCAGCAAATTTTACTTCATGGATTTATATGAAAAAGCAAGAGTGTGTAAAAAAATGCTGCAACGGGCTCCAGAATTTTTCCTCTTACTCATTTTTTTTTTCTAACTACATGACTGTAAATTGCAAAGATCATCCTTTCTTGTTTGTTAATTTGTTCTACACTTTCTGTGTTCAGATATTCTAACACGATGAAGTGGATATAAAACAATCGTACTATGAAATTAATCCCTTTGTTCCAAAGATGGCAATCATAACACATTCAATTGATGAGGCTATAACTAGGAAACTGGAATTACCTATTCTTGGAGTCTGTGCCAGGCATAACATAATACAGAATCATAACAATTACTACAAAAAATTAAAAAAGGAACTACACGTACCACAGCATCAATATAACTCAATTACTGTTCCACAGTCCAAATTGTTGGAATCCAACAGCTTCTTCTCTAACTGCATTTCCATCTTACTAACACCAACTTTCAAGCTATTCCTTTATGCAATCAACAGGTCCTTTCATTAAGAATAAACAAAATAAAATTCAAAAAAAGAGTCAAACTCCAAAAATGTTTATGCAGAATAGCAACTAGATTTCCCTTGCTCTTTGAAGGCATTTTTAATTTTATGAAGCCCTTTGCTATATTTGCCTTGTTAATATCATAAAGCCATGAACTAAGAATGTTATGTTTTTTACCTAAAAATTCTTTACTTGTTGTTTTCTTCATAATGGTTGTTTCATAAACAGAGAATATGAATGGCCAAAACAAGTGGAATAACAGTTTATTTTAACCACTTATCTGAAACTGCACTAGCATTGGGAGCACTTTGGTAGGTGTCGTCAGGAGGACTTTGGCCCTACTTACCTGCATCACAGTGATGTCTGAGAGGGCAGGACATAACTTTGCTGGAGTCCCACATCACTGTTGTACAGGCCTGGATATTTCCCAAGCAATATCAGAGAGCAGCAATTCCTGCACAGCTATGTACTCTCAATGGCAATGATTTCTTAGCCATTCAGTAGCAGCTGCTGATCCCATCTCTCCATTGGAACAAATAGTGTAAAAGACCAAGTTTTTAGTTTCTAGATACAGCAGGGTTATAAAGCTGATCAAGGATAGTGTACCGAAACCCCCCTTGTTCCCTTACTACTGCTTCATCTGGCTTTCTCTTGGAAACCTTGTAAGTTAAATAGCTGTTGTAGGTGTCAGAGCAACATGTTTTGAGAACCTATCAGACAGAACTCAGATTTCTGAGTAATCCACTTAGCAAGTGAATGCTACCAGAAACTCAGTTCTTTGATGGGACAGAGTTCTGATTTTTGACCAGAGAGGGGAAGCAAATGTCATGCAGTAATCTTGTTATTTTTTGTTTTGTTTTTAGCTCCAAATCTAACGAGGAGTTACCTGACAGAACCCACAAACAAAGCCTTAGCTCTGGGTCTCTTCTTGGAGCTTCTCTCACATGCTCAGGCTCCTACAGTCTCCTTTGTCTGCTTCTTTACTACTGCAGCTACCATCCATCCATGTTTACAAATATCCCATATTAACACCCCATGGAAATCTAACTATGAATATGTTCCTGTTTGCAGCCTGCAAAATACAGCAGAGATTAACTCCCAAAAGCCATTGTTCTATTTTATGCAAGACAACATCTTTTAAAAATTAAAAAGTTAAGGAAAGAACAGAACAGGAGAAGAACAGATGAAAGTGGCAATACCCTGCAGGAGTTGATAGGGTACACTTTCATCTGGACAGCCTTTGCTCTGCTGTTTTCTTCCAGCTCTTTTGGGGGGTAATAATATCTTTCTTCATCACTTCTCTTATTTTGCCTTAAATACAATGGCATCTTTATGCAGTGGATATAAATAGTTATTTGACTCAAAAATAATTTGTACACCAATATATTTAGAAACGCCTTTTTTTCTGTGTTTAGAAAGACAGACTTGAAAAAGATGCAATCAAAGTAAGCAGCAATGTGACAGAAAATGACAACACAGCAGCTGTATCAAGTCTTTCTAGTGTGACGAAAATGGCATCTGTAAGGGAAAAAAACTGTGTGCATATGCGTGGACACGCTCACATACAGTTTTAGGGCCTAGCAAAGTATTTGGTTTGGCAACATCATAAATTCAGTGAAGACATATGCAACGAGAGTAAAAGTGTCTCTGCAATTCCTCTCTGCAACAGGCGCATCTCAAACCGTGATGATGAATCAACCACCAAAACTAATGAGTTTTGGCTTCTCTATATGAAGATGAAAAAACTGAACAGGAGGGTATGGCTGGTGGGGGTTCTAAACAGGTACAAAGGCACCTACAGAAGCCAGCAGAGACTCCGAGCAACCCCAGGCAACTAACCAGAAGCTTTTCACCTTGTGATCACTTTATGACTTTCCTGCTCTAGACTGAATTTGAATAAGCAGCCTGCAGGTGAAAGACTGCTGGCTTCATTACTGTTCCTTTAAATCAGATTACGTGGCTACATAATTTTAGTCTTACTCTAAGAATTGCAATGGCTAAGAGAGTGGAGGAGCCCAAAGTTCTATGTTTGTTTGATTTTAAGATAAAGAAATGTCTACAAGAATTTTAAATGTAGCTATTTTCATTGCAAATTCTGATAAAATTCTTTGAAAGAAAGTAAACATACTTCATTAGCTAAAAATCTTACCCTTTCTCAATATAGTCAACATAATGCAATGACATTCCTTACCCAATTCAATAACAGATGTTCAAACTGAAGATGGAATTGCATATTTGGGATTTTATTAAAATACATAGATAAATACAATCATATTCTTAGGCATACAATGACTACCTAACATCCCATCTCAGGACTGATCTCTAGAGGTATTAATGGGGGTACAAAGGTTTTCAGAGCCTGATCTTAGTACGTACCTTTCCACAAATGGACTAAGAAAACCAGCCAAAGGGCAAATCCAGACATGTATGGATTTTTAATGTCTTTTATCCCTAGATGGCCCCTGCCTCCTGTGACATTTTGGGCATCTTGTGACATTCTGGGCCACATCGCTGCTGAGCCCCAGCTGCCTGCAGGCTGGGTACGTGCCACAGGGCAGCTGCACCTGGGAGCCTCAGGTCCCCAACACACAGGGGGTACTGAGAAGACAATCCAGACACGTCTTCTTTTTACCTTGGTTCTGTGACTTGTCTTTCGTTTTTCTTACCCTCCTCTCTTTGATTATAAGCAGTACGTGTTGCAAGCTGGCTGCCCGCAGGAGAGATCAAAGGGAAGTTTGGACCTAGAAGCCACAGCATTAAAGTCAGCAAAGATGATGAGCTCAGTAGCTTTCACTGGAGACACTCTCATGCATCACCCAGAGCTGTACGAGTAAATTTACAGTGAGAAATGGATCCTGTTGTGCTTCGTTCCCTACTCTGTGCTTTCTCCCTTATGCTCAAGTTAGGAAACAACAACAAACAGAAGTACCAAGTTCTGAAGTTTCTGCTTCTTCCTACTTACTAAACAATGCTTTTAATAGTTTCTTACTTTCAAGTTCTTAATAAATATGATTTCATTAATCCCCTCTATTTTGGATTTAATGAGCTGTACAGAAATCGAAGGTGAACAAAAGGGAAACAAATACTCATAGGACACAAAATTATTTATACGAATTGTTTTAGATGTTTGTCTTTTAGGTTTCTGATTAAAAAAGAAATGAGCCTTCCACAATCTTTACTGAAAACTAATGTAACGTGTGAGGTGTGTACTAGCTACTTCTGTGATAATCATGGTACGAATGTGCACAGTAAATTAGCTAACAGAATAAAATCTTTCACGAGAGCCCTAAGAAAACATTTGATTATATTGTCAAATATACCTGGCTAGGTAATTACACTGTTGTGCAGTAAATGCTTCAGTATTTAGAGAGATGGTATCAACAGCTAACAGTGCACAGTTCCCTTTGGTATGCTAGGCTTTCTTTGTGACTGTGAAACACTAAGTGGAAATGGATTGCCCAAGGATTTATCGTGCCTTTGACAAGATGTAACTAAAACTGATGGAGAGTTTCCTCGTGCTGGGACAGCATTCTTGGAACAAGCTGCAAGGCTAGTCTGAGGTGACTGATGGGTAAGCTACATACCCTTACTTCTCTTTATTTATTTCATCTGCTAATCTTCTCAGGCTGCATTTTCATCCGTTTTCAGTAAAATGATAGAATCCAAATTGAAATAATCTATCTGGCTAACAAGGGAGACCCAGCCAGCTAATTGTATAATCTGGTGGAATACAAATGAGCAGGAAATGGCTTTGAGCTACCCCACAATTCAACATGCAACAGTGAAGGCAGGAAAAAAGATAGGTATGTGTGTTATAGCTGATCATTTACTGCAGTGTTGTCTGAGCTGTAAGAACCAACAGCAGCAGGCAACATGCTAACCCTCAGACTACAGCCTAGCAGGTTCCTTTCCCTGCAATATTTTGTTAACAAATCACAACAGCGTTAATAATATTGTGGGAAAAGCACATGTAGATAATGCAATGTACATAAATTTATCTTCTTTTGGCCATGGTAATTAAAAGGTGATATTGCCATTTTCCACAATCACAACTGTGGAAATTCCACTATTTTAGTACTTAGATCTACCCTGCAATAGCTTTTTTTTTTTTTTTTCCTCTTGTAAAATGATTTTCAGCTTAAAAAAAAAATTAATCAGATTCATGCAGTCTGAAAAGGCCAAAGAGACCTGAATCTGAATGCTCTTTTATTTTATTTTTTTTATAATACTGTTGACCTACAGGGTTAAGATAAAAGTCAGTCTCCATGATGATATTCATAGATGACTTTTTAAAGGTAACTTTGTTCATTGTGACAGAAAGATACAGTAGTTTGAACACAAACTGCACCAGTGAAGAATGAGGACAAATACCTCCCCGAGGAAAGTGGGCCTGATCCAAGGTCCAGTGGATTAATTAGCATCAATATTAGGTTTGCCTAAGGAGCTAAAGCCTCTCTCTTTTTTTTTTTTTTTTTTTTTTTTCCTGGGGTCAAGCTGTGTATCACAATATGTAGGTTGGCATCCAAAACCACACATTACCACTTCACTCATTTTTGTTAGCTAATCAATTTACGTATCTAACACTTAAAAAAGAAAAAGAGAAATGGCATTTATAATGCTGATATATTCTTCTCACATTTGATCTCACTGCCTTCAATTCAAATGTTATCACTTTTCAGGGAAAATAAAATACTTCTTTGCAGTGATCTGAAGCAAGGAAATATTTGTAGATTATTTTTACTGTTAGAAGAAATTTTGTGCCTTCACCAATTTAAATCCAACAAATTTAATCCATGCTTAAATGAGAACATGGTATCACCTATCCAAATAATTTGCCTTAGCAATCTGCAGTGTTGATAAAGTAGTGAAACAGAAACTGCTCCTATAACATGACAACTAACAACTCACTTGTAATTGGGGAAATAGCCAACAACCACCCCTGCACGGAGACTTGCCTATAAGGCATAGATCAGCTGTTGGTATGACTGTGATATAGCTGCCACTATCATATCCTGTAACTCCCTCTGTGATAGTGTGTCCTATCTATACTGCATGAAAACTGTTCATAAGACACCTTAACTTCATTCAGCTGCAAAAGATATATTAATTAGAAGTCAAGCATGAGAACCAACCTAGTGTCTCCTCATTGACAGGTAAGGTTGGTCACTGTCTCTCCGATGGCCCTAGGAAGCTGTACACCTCCTCCTTCAGCTTGATGCCTAGTACACAAAGAGAGGAAAACAAACAAACTAAATAACAAAACAAAAAACAAAAACCCTAACAAGCTGTTATCTTAAACCGGAGGAGTTTGTTAGACAAAACTAGCACTTAAAGCTCTCCCAAGGAACACACCGGAGCATATCCTTGAATCAGGAAGCCCGACTGTAATATGCATCTCAGACACAGCCCCTGTATGCAATGCTTGGATGTTTAGCAAATCCCCTTCTAGCCCAGAGAATTTCACAGTTCTTGGAATCATGCAAAATGGCAATGTTTAAAAAAAATAATTAAAAAAAATTCACAAGATTAAGTAAAAAAAAAAAAAAGTCAGCAGTCACTCAGCTACTTCTAAATACGCATATCACTGGTAGTTCTAGATCAGGACAACATTGCAAAATTATCTTCACTGACAACAAAATTGGGTGGACAATGCTGGGAAATACAGCGCTCCAGAAGATGAAATAAAAATGGCAACTGTTTTAATTGCTTAATAAAATATAAATGAGCTGATGCCTATCAAACAAAATGCAATCTTCACCAAAATATCTGAAATCCAGTTAACTCCATCAATCTTTTAAAACTGACCATTTAAAACAATAGATCTTTACTTAACATGAAGCCATACAGAGCTGAACTTCAATTACTAGTAATCTGCATTAGATAAATTGAATGACTTAGATTTTAAAAATCTATTTATGTAGTGACGTGTAGGACAATCATTTCTTCATTCAGTGGCAGAGACAGATCACTACTATGCAGACCTTCAGTTAAAACAATGATTCTTCCATAGAAAGAATCATAGAATCACAGAATGTTTTTTGTAGGAAGGGACCTTAAAAAGCATACACTTCCAACCCCCTGCCATGTGCAGGAACACCTCCCACCACACCAGGCTGCCTAAAGCCCTGCCCAGCTTGGCCTCAAGTACTGCCAGGGATGGGACATCCAAAGCTTCTCTGGGCAGCCTGGGACAGGGCCTCACCAGCCTGAGTGAGGAATTTCCTGCTATCTCCTACTCTAACTCTAACCTCTTGTAGTTTAAAACCATTCCCCCTTGTCCTGTCACTATCTGCCTGAGTAAAAAGTCGTTCTCCTTATTTTTATAAGCCCCCTTTGGAAAGGATGCTTTCCATTGTAGTCCACTAATTGTATTGCCCAATTTTGTTCACACCTCTGCCTCTTAGGCAGTAATTCACTACCTAGTTTGGATTTAAGATTTTAAGATTTAAAACAAACAAGGAATAGTAAAAATTTAGAAATTTCCCCTTAATGTGATTATTGAGCAGCACTTTTTTGACTACTGTAATCAAGAGGCTGAGGAAACTATGCAAACAGCAGCTGTTGCCTGTAAGTACCTTTACTGTTGTGGCTGCAACTACTTACACTTGCAGGAGTGAACAGTCCTTTAATCCCCTACATCATAAATATTATCCTCCTCTTAGAGAAAGAAACTAAAGCTGAATAAATTAAATCTTTTAGCCATAAGACCAAGAACTTGGTGGCAGAACTAGAACTGAAATTTCTAATTGTCAGTTCACATTATTGGAAATATTAAGCTGTATTGTGTTTGAATTTGGGTGGAAATGGGATTGTTCCAGTAACAATACACAGTCTACAACAGTTTCATGTCTTGCTTCCTGGTGATATTTAACTGCTCAAATGTTTTACACAGCTGCAAGAAATAATGGTAGCTATGACCTCCCAGAGCCTGTGACATCTATGAAATTATTTTTACCATCTTGACTAGTTATAGCATAGATGCATCATCTGGGGGACACAAGAGATGAAATTCCATGCTCAGTGCTAGAGTGCCTGTCTGATAATTTCAAAGATAATAATTCCTCGGTAAGGGGAAGGTGAGCATGAAGCAATGACACTTTGTATAAGCAGGACCCGTTCACTGGTATCTCAGAGAAATCATAAGCATCTTTCTCATAGCTTTGGAAAAGCTGCTTACATAGGGAGCACTTTTCATGTTGGACTCAAATATTCTCACTTAACTGCCTCTTGGAGGAAAACGAAAAGTGAATAAGGAGCACCTTGAAGTGATTGATGACAACGTTCAGTGCATTTGTGGGACAGCTCATTAGGTACTATAAAAATGGCCCCTCACAATGCACATTAAAGAATCCAAGGGGAGTACATTCTTGGTAAGTTTTAGATCCCAACTCAAAGGCACCACGCCAGCTTTCTAACAATGGGGTGAGGCCAATGTGGAACACTTCAGAAGGATTTACACGAATAAGGTGTTCAACCATGTATCAGGGATGATCAATGAGGAAGAAGAGAGAAACTTCTCTACTGATGTTACAGGCCAGATAGAGGAGACTGCACAATATGATAAAAATAAAATCAACCTTCGAAGTCAGAAGATGATAACTTCTATAACAGTCACCCCTGCCATCACTGCCTCTTTTTCATGTTTTTCTTTTGATACACAATAATCTTCTATACCCTCTAAAAAATAAGTCTGGGCTGGTAACTAGATCTATCTTAACAAATGACCCAATTTTTCCAACTGTCATGTCCAATGACAAATCACATTTACACATAATTTTTCACTAGTATCCCACAAGAAGAATTCAGTTACTCCTAAGAATTTTATACATATCATCATTTAGTTGTTCAAACGCACTTGGAAAGTGACCCCGTTAAGCATAATTCTTAGAAGGCGACAAAAAAGTAACTAATCTTTGTGGCTGTACTCAGTTTTAACTTCAGCCCTTCCATGAGTGAAATCAGAACAACAACAAAAGATGGTGACACACAGTGTGCAGCATGAAATACATTAAACAATATTAAAGCAACTTTTTAAATCTAAACAGACATTTTTAATAAGGTAGCTGCTCGTAACTCAGCCTTAAGATGCTGACACTAAGTCCTACATCCTCGTTTCCATTTCTGTGTTTTAGTGAAATGAGAAGAGCACCATCAAAACAACAATCCATGGAGCACCTTCCCTCTGCAGCATGGCTTCCTGTCTAAACACACTTCCACCTTTAAAGCCTCCTGTGTCAAATTAATTGCTACAACTTCTGTTTCTTCCCACATATTTACAATTCCATCAGCACTCATTTCTCTGTCAAAAACAGTAAAATGTCATACCCAGAGTTAGCTCAGTGGAGCTGAAGTAAAGCAGACTGCAAGCTCTACAAAGCGATCTCCATGTGTAAGTTGCTTCACATTTTTATGAAACCTTTTTCCCAGAATTAGTTTCTCCCTAGTCTGATTGTCCTGACAATTCTGAACTATCTGTTACTTCCTCTAAATAAAAATCTCTACTTAAAACAAACAAGAATTACATGTTGTACACTTTTTAATCCTTTTCTGATTTGGTGATGCCAAGAGTAAGTGCTTTTAAGGGACATGAAATACAGGGGTTTAGGTCTGGTGGGTGCATTGGGAAGAGGCACCAGGGCCTGGGTGTTACTCTGCAGTAGTCATGATGAGACTGATTCTTTTTATTGCTTCGAAAGACAGTTGCTTACAAAGTACAAGAGCACCTGATCTAGGAATTTCCTGTGACTCCAAATGAACAGCATTAAATTACGCAGTCGGGGGTTACAGACAGGTGGAAGTTTACATGGTGACTAACCAACTTAACAAAACTTGGTACTAGTGAGAGTCACAAATAAATTTATCTCAGGGTTGATGTGCCCTTCTGAAATGGAGTGGAACAATATCACTGTTATTTCTATGTACAGAAACTTCAGGTGTGACATTCAGTGCCTCAGGATCTTGGCACCAATCTCAAGCTCACCCAAGTACAATTTGCAGAAAAAACGCACTCATCACTTTATGAAAATCTGCTTCATTACATTAATTGTCCACACCAAATCTCTAGATACTCTTGACTATGCGCTATAAACTTTATTTTCTCAGTCTGTAATTCAGCTGTGATAATGCTATTTGATTATAATTTTGATGCAGATAGCAGTGGGATATGAGGGGAAGATTTTTCTTTTTTTTTCTTTTAAGCTGAAGGGAATTGAAAACACTTTATACATTCCAAGACTGAGGATACTTTTGACATTAGAAGAGAGGAGTGAAGGGGCCACTATCAGCATAACTTGATGCTTTCATGCAAAAATGGGTCTTTTAATACTGATTTTATCCATCTGTCATCTGCAGTTTACTTGGCATTGCACAATAATAAACAGGAAGCTGCTAACCATCAGAAGTGTTTTTTCCATGCCAAACTCTTTAAAAAGAGAAAACTAAGCTTTCATATTACGCAAAATTGTGTTATACTAATGCCAACATATACTATGCTGACTGCAAAATTATTTTACCTTTGTGTTTATTTATTTTGTTGCAAGTTTGTATTCCAAAGACTTCTACATACTCTGCATACATTTCTTTAGGAAATCTATTGAAACTAAATCCATGTTGTACCTTTACAAGACTCAGGATGTTAAGAAGTTATTCAGTACTTATGTAAAGAAAGGCATAGTCACAACACAGGTATATCCATAAAACTAATTTAGACAGAACATAACAGAAAAAAAGTATCTGAGACTGTATTTTTTTAACCAAAATTTATTTTCTATAAGGTGAAAATAATTGATGCTAAGTCCTGCAAAAGGTTTATGAAAGATCTAGAAATAAGCTATAGACCCTCCAAGTCCTATTTATCTGGAAAGAAAAAAAAAAAAAAAAGAAAAAAAAGGAAATCATTAACTTTGGAGAAGAGTTGATATTAAATTAAAAAAAAAAAATCTAAATTAGCATTACTGAAGATTACAGACTAGTCTTCAACTTCAGTAGTGCAGTGACTGCAGACAACAATCAGTTTTACATTCTGTGAGGATCTGACCCATACCTCCACGGAGCTAAAAACATTCTGACACCCCTTACTCATTTGCTCATTTAAGATACTGTAAAGCAAACCTTCAAATCCTCTTCCCCATGTTTCTTCTTGCCCTCGGAGCACTCATTTGTGTGAAAGCTGGAGATCACAAGTTTAACAGCCCATCCCCAGCCATCCTTGACAGAACACCAAATGAGTACATTAATACTAATTAATCACTGTCACAAGCTGGCCACGTGTCTGAACATTCTATTTAAGGTCAGAAAATGAAGTCAGTAATTTCATCAAAAATGTGATTTTTCACTCCAAGATGGAATATACAATTAGCAGGTGCTTCCCATATCTCAGATGATAGATGCAAAATATTTCCATTTAATGACTGATTTCAAACAACTGCTGCTAGTAAATGGTAATCCTCTGCAGTAATAACGGAATTGTAAGATATTGTACAGAACATTAGTTGACTTCTTTCTCTTCCTTTTTAATTTCTTTTGCTTAACTTTATGATCAAACATTATTTTGGTGCAAATTATGGAACAGCAACATGAAAGTGCTCTAAAGCGTGACTCAATTTTAGAGCAAAATATCAATATGAACAGCTAGCTAGCCTCAAATCAAGCAGAGAATTTGCAATGATTTCGAAAATCTGATGCTTGCTCAATCAGCTTGCTGACCTAAGGCCTAAAAAAGTATCACAGATATTTCATATTCCTCTGAATCATCAGGGACTGGTCAGTTACAGAAGAAATCTAAGCTGATGAATTTCATGGTTTGATTCAGCTTAGCAAATCATGTTTCAGATAATGTAACGTTAACTTTCTCTTCTTTGAAAGCATGAAATAGTAAAGGAAAAATGACTCTAAAAAGCAAAGTCATCAATGCATGTAGAAGCAATTTAAATATTACAAGTAATTATGTTCACCAATATGCGGGGGGCTATATATGAAGTAGGGTCTGAGTCACAGAGCAGAATCTTTTTTTTTTTTTTTCTTATTGTCAGTGATTTGGTAATGGTTTCATCACCATTTCCAATAATATAATTTGCTTTAGTATCTCAGGTATAATGGTAATAATTTGGGCATAAAATCAAGAACAAGAGTCCTTTCGGAGCTCAACATTTATAAATATGGTTCCTGGAACCTGTAAGATTGCTCTTGCACTTAAATCATGACAAAACAGAAACATTATGCATTTTCATCTGTGTACTCAGAAGTTCCTTTTGCCCTTTCTGCATGAATTTCTACACCACAGTTACCTGGTACTCAACTCCCCTGTGACTCATGAAAGAGAGATTTATGTCCTTGATGTTCTACTAGAACTTTCAACATCATCCACCTTCCCATATATCATCTAACTGTCTACATCAGCTGAGTCAATGCCAACGACTTTCAGACCAGTGTAATTCTCCCAGTCTTTTACATTTAGTTCTACCTCTTCTGACTTCCAAGAGGCAAAAGCAGCATGCATTGCTGAAAGGATGGAGTCACCAAAGTGGCTATATAAATAAAGAGGAAATTTAAAAAGCTCCACATGAAGAAATAATAAATACACAATTGGCTAGTATTCAAAAAGAATGTAGTACATTTGGAAAACATATTCAGACCATTTCAGCAGCAAGATAAACATATATCCATTTGTGAGAATTTGCCTCTACATTCCCACATATTCAGGAGTGAAAAAATGAAGTATCTTCTGTAATTCCTAAACTATTTTGGCATGTGACATAGAAGTGTTTGAAAATTTGGTTACGTAGCTTTCAAACTAAATGCTATCTTGTCTACAGCATATTTTTCTTGGAAAATACAGGAACTGCATTACATGACTGGATAGGAGCAAATGTTCTCATTTCCCTTATATTTGCATACAGATGGCAGTTTTTCAAAGATAAAATTATAAGCTGCAAATACACTGTCAAAGTTCAAACAATTTGTGTTGAGTACAAACATTTCTAATCAAGTTAAACTGCTACATTGAAAATAATTAAGTAGACAACAGACCATTCCTCTTCCATGCAGCAGTGCAGTACAAGTATTGGGAATGGTATGTCATAGCTCGGGCCTTAACTTTTTATGGTTTCTCAATTAGCATGCGTTTCAATGGCAACATTGCTCACTAAACATGGGTCCTCATTGAGAAACTACACAAAAAATAGACTTTTTGAACAAAGTATTCTCGTCTCAAATGGAGAGCAGAATTAATTTATTTTGTGAATGTACAAAGTTGCTTTTTCTATCAAGATTATGTCTTGAATTTATAACTCAATAATATCCTGAAAAATACAAAATACTATTTAGTTTACTGTTGTAATCAAACAAGCTGTATTTGTTCTAGCAGGTAACACTATAGTAGCCCTTTGTGCACAATTTCTGCATCCTCTCTGTAATTCTCCATGTGTTCAAATTTTTTAATAAAGACAGTGTACCAAGATCATTTTTTCTTAGAAGGTATGCTAGAACAGTTTCCAGTAATCTGTTCTCCCTTGATGCCGTCAGAACAGCCCCTGCATCTTCCAGCACGTATAGCTGGACTTGCTACAATAATCTTGGAAATCTTTATAGCTCATGCTATGTTTACACTGCAACATTTCTGTATTTGAACCTATCTATTTTGCAAAACATACATACTAAAATAATTTTCAAGAAACTAGATCCATTTAGCACCCCATATTTCACTAGCAGTTGAGTTCAAATTAGTGTGAAGTTTGTAAGTAAATCAACTCTTTGAATTAAAGAGTCTATTAAAAGGTAAACAGCTACTGTTTGAGAACACAGGTCTTTGAAAACACTTTTTTTTTTTTTTTTTAGGGAAATGCAATGTCCACAAGTTCAGACTAAAAATTAATAAATAAATAAAATAAAGTATACTGATGACTTACAGTATTTCTATCAAATTTTTCAAGTTCTTTGTCTCGCCCTTGTCATGTTTTTCAATTTCTAAGCAGTGAGTCTAAGGGAACAAGATCTAAGGGAGCAAGTTTTAACTCTAATTCAGGGCATCTTTGATGTTCTTGGTTGTCTTCTGAAATTTAGTCCTTCTTCCTGAGCTCGTTTATCTTGTGATTTGTACAATATGGCTTTGAAGTTCTCTGCAGCACTTTTACAGCAGCTCAGCCGAAGTACAAGCCCAGCAAAGCTGCTGATGTCTGGAAACTTCCTCTACAAACACATCTGCTGCTGCGCCTGGCACTGGCTGAAAGCTTCCAATGAGCTCCAGAAAGACTGATTCTTAGTAACTTCTAAGAGAAATTTGGTTCACTGTCAGGTCCCCAAACCACCTTGACAGGGGATACAATGAGGAATAAAACATATCAGTGTTGCAGTGTAGCAACTGGCAGGTTTTTGCTAGAATTAGTGAACTTTTCCAACAGTTTTCTTCCCTTAATACCAGGTTATATGTGGAAACACAGAAAACACTGAAACCATGGTACTGCTGAAAGTCAAGGTCTCAAACACTGACTCATCTCTATGTTTCCAAATTGATATTTATATTTACAGCACAAAAGGTGCAACCTTTCATTCTATTTCTGATGGTTTGGGATTTTTGTTGATGTTGGTTGGGTTCTGATTCTTGAACTTTAAAGAAATCTCTCTAAGCTAGTTTGGTTTTGAACTTTCAATTTTTCTTTTTCTTTTTTTTTTTTTTTTTATTTTAAACTATGGATAAATGGGCAGGAAAGAAATCTGAAAAAAACAAGACTACTTAATCAGAAAAATATTTTTTTATCTAGAACAAAACAGAATTTCCCAAACCATCATTACATTTCTAAGATTCAGGAAACTGACTCTATCTTAACTGTGTTTTCATTGTTCATAATGCATTTGTGACAGTTTAGAAATCCTAATATAAGTTCAAGCCCAAGTCCAACACTCCTATAAAAGCTGATCCAAAGCTGATCAAAATTGACTTCTGCTAACTTCCATGCACTCTGGCCTTTAATGTTTCATGCTGTTTCCGGTGAAATTGCGGCCAGTATTGCTGGGTTACTCTGTAAAAGCAGAATTAAAACCTTAAG